CCGTGGCATGACTGGGCCTCCGCTTCCTGAAAAAGCAACCGCTACCAGCCAAAAAGAGAGTGAAAGAGAGGAGATTACTGATGGGATAGATCCAGATGTATCAAACAAGTCAATGGACGTTAGTGCCATATCCTCTCCTCCCACCCCAAATCATGAGGCACATTCCAGATCTAATGAAATATCTTTCCCCCCTTCCCTGGAGATTTTCAAGGCTTCCCAAAATTATATTATTTCCAGCTCAGGAGAAAATGTTAAATCTTAGTTACTTTTGCAAATCAACCCTCTCTTCTTCCCCAGAAGACTGACCTTGAATCAAAAAAATGATCTGTTGGTATTTCGGTTAGAGTTTGGCCAATCTAGCTTAAAACAGACCTTGAAGACCTTGAACTCCACCTAGGATTTTAAAAATTTTAGGCTGTTCTGACTATTTTGAGGTTTTGTTTCCCCTTTCTGTGTTGAAGACCACCGGACAGCTAAGGGGAATGGGAGAAAATGAAGCTGAAGGAACCATAAGCAAACTATCTGACTCTGATGAATCAGGCAGGGGAATTATCTCCTCAGGGAAGACATGGAGCATGGTCTCATGGATGCCTACAGCTTAGCCAAAGCACCCACTATGAGGATTAGGTGAAGAGGTGATAGCCAGCTCAGGCAGCCTGCTGTGTGATCCCAGCATGTGTGACACTCTGCCTGGCTGTACCTCTCTGCTTGGAGGGAAATGGGAAGAAGCTCAGCTCTCCCTATCTCCAGGCCCCAAGATGCAGCATTTCGCTGCTGGAGAAGAACTAACTTAACGCTGCAGCGGCCCTTAAGGCCTGAAGATCTCTCTCTTTCCAAAGCTCTCATGTCTAGGGTTTTTGCAAAACAAGATACTGCAGAAGCCTTTAGCTACCTGTGATGTATGTCAGGGATGACACCCCCAACCCCAAGATACTAAGGCACAGTTCAGCAAGCTGGCATCTGGCAGCACAGTCCCTAAAAGATCTGGTTGTTCTTCTAAGCTCTTGCTGAATCACAACTATAAAGCCCAAGTTCAAGGGCCTGGCAGTCCCTCTGCTGACTGAGAGAGAGTCAGACCATCTTGCTGGGTCCCATCCATTCATGAACGTGGTTCAAAATCAGCTGAACATCCCTAGCACGTGCATTCATCTGTGCACTCACACTGACTCTTTTTCCTCTGAGGTAAGTACACTCTCACCCTTATTTGGGCCAACTGGCTTCCTTGGACAATCCCCCTTTTTCAGAGTGACGTCATCGATGGCAATGTCCCCCTCATAACTTGTGCCACGGACACCTTCGAAGATGATCTGCAAGCAGAGTGACAGAACATGGAGTGAGGCTGAGGCTGCAGAGGAACCTCTCCCTTCTGGGGGAATGGCCTTACCGCAGGGCCCTGCAGAGACGAGTTGGGCACACACCAGCTGTCATCAAGTCCCAGCAGCCCTGGAGGGAAAGTCCCTCTTTATCGCAGCCTTAGCCATTCCTCAGGAGGGTTCGAGCACTAGTAGCTGAATTTTACAGCAGTCTTTATTCCCAACCTCCCTCTTCTCTCGTGGGGCAATGCCTCCTCTCGCAGACTCCAAAGCACTTCCCTGAAAGAAAGCTAATGCTGCTCATGGCTGCCCCACCACAGCGTTCCCCCACCAAACAACGCTCTTCATCACCACAAAGGCTCCTTCTACCCACTGCTTCCCAGCAGAAAGTCAAGGAGCTTGGTGCAACCCATTAGGCCAAGCTGGGGAGCAACATGCATCCACAGCCCATGGGTTGACAGGAAGGGGAGCCAGAGCCTTAATATCTGCCTGAGACCCCCACAAGGCCACTGCCATCTCAGGACACCATGTTCTTCAATACCTGAGGTGGCTGTCAGGCTGGTTTGCTGGAGGGGCCTGTTCCTGGGCTGATTGCTGGGTCAGCCCCTGACCTCCCACCCTCGCTCCACATTGGGAAGAGCAGGGAGAGTTGCCCCACTGTTCTCTGAGCTGGACCGTTGCGGCTGTGTCAGCTTCAGCTCCCTCAGTGGTCCCCATGGTCCCCTGCCTCTGCTGGCAGCCCGGGGACCGCTCAGTCACTGCCTGCTGCGGTGATGTGGAAAGGCAGAAAGCAGCAGTCTCATCCCGTCCCAGGATTATAATGGGATATAATTCATGCTGTCAAGTGCGCTATCCATCCCTATCATCCAGCACACCCTCAAACACGGGCCCTCTCTCTTCCGGTCATGGCAAACCCATTCCCAGTCATGACTCTCTTCCCATTAACCATTCTTCCCCATCTTATTCTTAGCACTGGCAAACCCATACCCACCTACCCGTGTAGATCTCCCCCCAGGAATACCTAATACTTGCTCAAACCGCAGTGAACACTGAAAAAGATAAACCACTGCACAGCCTGCATGGGTCACCCTGAAACAACAAAGCAGTATGCCTGGGGTGGATAGGGAAAAGCACCGGCCAGCCAGAGTGTCTGTGCACATCCGCAAGCGAATGATTCCTCCCTATTTCTTCAGTACTCATACGACCTGGAGATCTGAGCCCCACAGCTTACAGGACCAACTTCTGTGCTTTTAAGTTAACGCTGAGCATCTGTGGAGTAACAAATGAGCATACAGAGCTCTGCTTTCATTAAGTATTCTGCACTAATAAAACAGCCCATACTGAACAGCACTTGCAGGAGTAACTAAGCTCTTATTTATTATTTTGTAGTACTAAAAATTGTGCTGGGTGTTTTGCCACAGTGCCACAACTTGCCAGCCTGTGCAGGCCCAGCTCCCACAAGCAGCTGTGCAACAAGAAAGTAGCGTGTTGAGCAAGAGTATCAGCCATAAAACCTCGACTAACCCTGGTACTCATAAACTACCCTACAAGCAGATACAGGCTGCCCCGTGCATATTCACAAGCAGCCCTACAGTCGTAAGCCAGAGGGCTAGCGAGGGTGGGCTGATGTAGCACACACTGTAAGAAAGCTCTAGCACTCAGAATCACCTTACACCAGCAGGCCGGCATGCTGGGGCCAGCATCCTTCAGCTGTTCAAGAACAAGAGACCTCTTGCACAGACCTGGTGCTTAGGAGCTCTGCAACAAGCATTTTCCAGATCAGCAGTAATCAGAAAATGTGCAATACCAAACCAGTGCATGCACATAACAGAGTTGGATGATTTCAGAGACAAGTGGATTTGATTTTCATGCTTCCACTAAGTTCCTGCCAGTGAACTTCCCAGGCAATCACTGTCTGGTGCCTGGGGGAGAGCTCCCACATGCCCTTCCCGTGCCTGATCAGCCCCTGTGCCACAGAGGCAGATGTACTGGGAAAACACTCAGAGGCCATGGCACACACACAGAGTAGATGGCAGTGGCCTCCTTGGCTGTGGACCTCACTTACCTGGAAAGGCCCTGGCGGGTTGATGGGAACGTGCGCTTGTTGCCACATGTTCCCCCGGTTCCCACTGAGTGACCAGACCTGCGTGTCGATGGCCCTCTTGTTTCGCACGCGAACCAGTAGATTCAAGGAGCCTGTAAGAGAGAAACCAGGCGCTGGCATCACAGGACAAGCAGGTAAGCCAGCCTGCTGTGCTGACACCCAGTGTAGCTCTGGGGCCCAGCCTCGGGCCACCGTCACATTCACATGCTCCCACAAGACCGGGGCAGCCTGCAGAGCCCCAGTGCCACGGTATCCTCTGGAAGGAGCCAGCTTTCTCCTGGGCCGACACAAACGTGTCACTTGCAATGTTTCATCCGCCTGGGCTACCCAAGTGAGGATATAGTCCTAGATGAAGACAGAGAGGATGGGATGAGGAGGAAGTACTCCGTAGAATGGCTGGTGTGGCCCCATGCAAGAAGCAGGTGACAAAAATGCTGGCTGCAAGGCACCTCTGGAAGTGACCAGTCCAACCTCCTCTTTGGAGCTGTCTCCAGCTCTGGATTAGAGTAGCATGGTTTTGCCTGGCTAAGTCTTGAAAACCCTCTCAGGACAACAGCTTTCCCTAATGTCCAATATGCACCTCCTAAGCTGCCATTTGTGGCCGCTGCCCCGTTATATCATCTAATACTACTGAGAAGAGTTTGGCTCTGTTACCTTTGTAATTGCCCTTCAGATAGTTGGAATCCATGGGCTGATAGCAGCCTCCTCTTTGTCAAACAGAGTAAACGCAGTTCCTTCAACCTCTCTTCCCCAGGACTTTCCCCAGGTATCAGGTGCCACCCTGATATCCTTCTGCTGGACCCTTACCAGTTTCCCTCTTGAAATAGGGAGCCCAGGACTCACAGTTCCCCTCTCCCAGTTCACCACAAGTACATGTATACTCTGTAGCCTAATGTCTTCTCCTTGCCCCTGGCCCTGGCCATTAGCAGCAGAAATACGAACTGTGTCCTCAGTTGCTACTTGCCCTGCATGCAGGCCTTGGAGCGAGCGGCAGTTCTTTGCTAGCGCTGGGCAGTATTCCCTATACCACGCCGCCTTTCCCTCCCAGCCCACATGTTTTCAGAGTGACACAGGCACTCTCTGAATTAGCACTGAATTCAAGTTCCTTCGATCAAAACAATTCCTGAAAGGCTGTATCTGCCATTCAAGCAAAAGGCAAAGCCAACAAACCTCAAAGCATTTCCATTTTTCACTTGGAAAAAAGTGTCACAACCCCACTACGCTCCACCCACAAATGAAACTATCTCAGTTTGTCTTCCAACAGTATATCTTTTTAGCAATCCCCCCAATTGACTTTTCTTTTCTTTTTTTGTTTCAGTGAAAATATATTTTTAAACATTCACTCCAGGTTGAACTGAAACACTTTTTTTTTCTTTTCTTTTTTCAGTTCAGCTTGTGAACTGAAAAAAAACAACTACAACTCTACTCACACTGTTGCTCATCAGTGTTTCTGGTCTTCACACACAGAAGTACTACATCTCAGAGCAGAGAGGCTATAATAACCCTTACTTATATGCCCATAGTCAGATTGCGCTTAGGATACTGCATTTCAGTCTGGGAATTCCCTTCGGAGAGGCAGCAGAGAGAGGTTATGGAACGAGACTGAATAGTCCTTTATTATATAACCTCCTATATGTTACCTTGAAATTCTTCATTCTTGGCACATCAGCCTTAGGGTCATTGTGTGAGGGATACGGACCTGGGAGTACCCCTGCTGAGTGGCTGGCTATCAGAAAAGCGAGAGAGAAATCACAGGGTATTCAGAGATGTATAACAAAGATGATGAAATGTTTACATTCTGAATGGCTGACTTACAAGAAAAGATTAAAAGAATGAAATATATGTATAATTTAGTGAACTGAGAAAAAAAAATGGAACGGTTATTGCCTGGAAATATTTTCAAAAGCATTAGCACTAAGAGAAAGAGTCTGTTAGGGTGTCTCAGAAAACTAGATGAAGGCCTGACTGAATGGGAAGAGGGTGAGACTGTGAGACCGAAAGGGAAGAAGTGTTTCACTGAGTTGTCTGAACATCACCTGGGATGCAGTCAGGCTGGGGAAGGAGACAGCACAGCCTACTGCTAATTCTTATTAGCCAAACCTGAATAAGAGAAAGTGGGAAAATATCCTTCTGCCTGGAAATAGCTCTTTCAAGTGCCTTTCCCCAGAGGTGCCCAGCATCCCACCCTGGATGCACAACGTAACCCAAGATGAGCAGCGACACAGCTTGTTTCTCTCTCTTGAGGTCAGCAGCCACTGCATGACTCCAGAGCTAGTAAGGTCAGTGGTTGAAAGCGAACGAAGAATTACCATGAAGCTGCCAGCAAGCAAGGATTAAAAGAAATCATCTGCTATTCCAATCTCATTCAGAGACTGCAGCTAGGATCCGCTGGATGAGAGCTTGGCTAAGCAGCCAGTGCTAAGACAAATCAGGCGGCAAATGAACTTTGGTGCCCTAGGAAAAAAGGGAAGGCAAAATATAAAGGGACCCAGACAAGCATCTGGAATGCAAATTAGTGCCCCCTAAGCATTGGCTGTGAACGCCTGGCCTAAACCCAAACCAAGCCTGAGCATATCCTGGCTGACAGCTTCGTGTCCTTGCAGCAACAGGAGCTAAAGTTTCAACGTTTTGGCCCCCAAATCCTCTAATAAAACTATACTGTGTATAAGCTGATGTTCTTCAGATGGTTTGCAATTAGCAGAGAAGTAACCTCATCTCCCCGCAGTGTGCAATGCTTCACCATCACTGTCTACACATGGAAAACTGAAGGTCAGGACAGCTGTGCAACGTACCCCTGGCAGCCTTGCAAATCAGTCAGAGCTGCAAAGGAAGGTCAGATCTGCTGCTGGTAGCCCTACTTGCAAACCCTGCTAGCTTACAAAGCCTCCCCGAGGCTGGGAAAGAACCACAAAACCTCCCTTCACCACTAATGCTCTGTAACTGGGAATGTGCTTCTGGGAGGCATGGCAGAGACTTGCTTAGGCCTTCTAATTTATTCTCCTCTTCCATGTGTTGGTCTGTCACACTCTGCCAGTCAAGTTCAAGGGCATGTGTCCTGTGATGGAGGTGCTTGGAAATCAACCTTCAGATCTGAGCTCCAGTCAGAGCCCTATAATATGGCAATCCTATGCAACAGAAAACCCTGAGTCATCTTTCTCATTGCTCAGAGCCTCTTAATCTCTGTTTTTCAGTCTGGCCCTAAAAGAAAGCTGTGTGATGGAAAAAGTGCTGCAGGACTTTGTGCTTTCCAAGGGAAAGCTTTGGGTTCAGCCCACTGCCCTAAAGTCGAACCTTGCTCCAGGTTCCCACTTAGAGTCATCAAAGTCCACAGGCACAAGGCAGAAGAAGTCTCTGACTAAAATGGAAAGAGAAGCTTGCATAGATATTGGTGGTACGAGGGGACTGTGAGGACATGTGAGTTGGTGTCCATAGCTCTTGACTTCGGGTGAACCCACAACTGCCCACACCCACCTCTGTGCAACCTGGTGACACTTTTCTCATGCCTCATTAACTATCCTCACTGCCCGTGTAGCTTTCAACACATCACACAAGTTCAGACCAAACCAGCCACTCGATGCTTGTAACATCCCAGAGATGCCTCCTAGAGGTTACATACCCAAATGCCACTTTGCAGGAGGTGGCCAATGCACATGCCACTGATGTGTGGGAAGTAAGGCCCTTATTCCTCACGGTGACACTGACTTGCCGTAAGATCCTCAGAAATTGCTTTTACCCTCTGGGCTTTACTTGCCTCATCTGCTGACATGATATGATGATGATGATGAAGAAGATAACATTCACTAGCTTTGAGAGGAACTCAGAAACATACCAAACACTTTACGAGTGCTCTGAGACCTTAGAAAGAAGATGCTAGGGAACAGGAGTGCCCGAACTCTTTTGCCTTTCGGGAGAAACCAGAGAAAAAACAAACTGAGACCTGCTCTCCAGCATCATGCTTTCATCAGTGGAGATGCAAAAGACCCATCTGGATTATTTTTGGGTGAGAGCTGTCACAGCCACCCCTTCAGCTTGTTTTTATACTGCAGTCATGCCCAGTTTCCTATATCAGAATCCACAACCAGCTGGCCAGTTTTGTTACCTGTCTCTGAAGTCATCCTCCCTTCCCCATCTCCTCCATCAGATGTTTCTGGCATTTCCTAAGGGCACTTGGTAGTGACGCACATACAAGGACAGGCCATCTATCTGGTGCTAAATCTCTCCAGCTGGTCAGAGACAGAAGAACACAATGAAAATCCCAGGACACCAGAAAGTCTGTTGGTATCTCTCCACAAACAAGGCAACCTCAACATTTGCCTTATAATCTGTATTATTCCTTCTTCCCAATCAAAAGGGAGAATAAAGGCCAGTGATGAGTGATGAGGAAGCCATTACAGTGAGCAGCAGCCATACCTTCTGCTGGCTCCCTTTAAGACCAAAGCTGGCATTTCAGGAAAGCGGCGCTCACACAAAAGAGCACCAGCTGGGCTGCAAAATAGAGTAGCCCAAGGGATGCCTTTAAATGCTACTGTCTTGCAACACAAAAAGGTCTTCCCTCAGTTTCCATGGGATGGGGACTTCACTGCCACACTGCAAATCCACACTGGACCACAGAGCAGATTCAGAAGCGCCGGCACATGCAGCACCAAGAGGGAGGCAGGGTCTATGAGGCCAGGACTCGAACACAGTCTGTGTGGGATGGCAGAGAAGGCAGAGGCTTCCGTGAGAATTTTCTGCGGTGCATCTGGGAGGGTGAAGTATGCGTAGCTTGACACACAGCTCAATATTTGAAGTATGCGTGGAGGGAAAATAGAACAGCTAGGAAGTGAAGGGAGGAAAATACTGTGAGCTGGGAGACGGAGGTTTGTGCCCTGCATTGCATGGCTCTGTGGGCTCTCTGTGGGCCGGATCAGGAAGTCAGTCAGGACCCACAGCCGGGGTCCTGCTAGCTGGCCTAGCTGTAGGCTCACATGCAGCACACAGGCTGACCTCACTGCAGCTCCCCAACAGCCTTCTTGTAGTATTCCTGCCCCAGGACAGGCGGTCAAACGAAATCAGCTATCCGCAAGAAGTTTTGGCTGCAGCCACAGTTCAG